TTTTGAGAAAGAGACAGAGTGTGAGTGGGGGAGTGACAGAGAGAGAGCGAAAAACAGAATCTGAAGCAGGTCCAGGCTCTGAGCTGTCAACACAGAGCCCAACTGCTCAACTGACTGAGCCACCCAGATGCCCATGGTGTTGCCATTCTTAACCAGTGTGTTACACCAACTCTTTAGTTGCTAGAATATTCACAATATTATCATAAGTATCACAGTGACTTTGAATAATAAGGGAGAGTAACTATTAATTATATTTTTATATTTTCATTTTAGTATGTAACCCTTATCTACATGCTATATTTAATACATATTATTTGTCATTCAGTAGGTGCTCTGGTTTGAGCACCCAGCATTACAAAATACTAATATTACAAGCTGCTAATATAAACTAAACGTTAGCAGCCCTTCTTATATTATTAAGTAAACACATATTCTATCATATCTATGTTAATGACGATGTGGGGATGGTCATGGAAATGTCCCTCATTCTCTCTTGTTAGAGCTTTTGACTTGAACTTTATTACATTTGATAGAAGGATTGCTACCCCTGCTCTCTGCTGGTTTACATATGCAAGAAATCTCTCTCCATCCCTCACTTTCAGCCCACGACTGCCTTAAGGCCTAAGTGAGTCTCTCTCATCGGAAGCACATTATTCTGTCTTCTTTTTTCTTTCTTTCTTTAATTCATTCAGCCACTCTATATCTTTTATTTATTTTTTTAAAAAATTTTTAACGTTTATTCATTTTTGAGGGACAAAGAGAGACAGAGCATGATGGAGGAGGGGCAGTGAGAGAGAGGGAGACTCAGAATCTGAAGCAGGCTCCAGGCTCTGAGTTTTCAGCACAGAGCCAACATAGGGCTTGAACCCACGAGCTATGAGATCATGACCAGAGCTAAAGTCAGATGCCTGACTGAGCCACCCAGGTGCCCCATCTGGTATCCATGATTTCTGATGCTATATCACATAATAATTTTACTAAGATTTGATATCCATGAAAACACACCTTTTTGTTACTTTAAAATTCTTTGTGTTATTTGATACTTTGAGATGTGTCTTGATTTATTTGAGTGTATACTTTCTGAAAGTTCGCTGAGCTTCTTGGGTGTATGGATTGTTTTCCTAAAATGTAGGATGTTTTTGTGTATAATATATTCATATATTATTTCTACCTCTTTCTCCTCTCTCCTGGGACCCCTGTTATGCATACATTGGTACACTGAATAGTATCCTACAGGTGTCTAAGGCTACCTTCTTCACTTTTTTTCATTCCTTTTTCTCTTCTTGCTTCTCAGATTTGATCAATTTAAACGATCTCCTTTCAAATTTGCTGATTCTTTCTTCTCCCTGCTTGAATCTGCTAAATAATAATAAGCCTTGCTGATAAATTTTTAAATTTCAGTTGTTACATTTTTCAATTCCAAAATTTCTATTTGGTTCTTTTTTATGATATCTCTCTCTTTGTTAATATTCTCTATGTGCTATCATTCCATATTTTAATTCTTTGTACATGATTTTCTTTATCACTTTGAACATATTTGAAATACCCAATTGAAATTTTTTGTAAGTTTAATGCCTCAGTGTTTTCAACTTAAAAAACATCACATAATACTGTTTGAAATGATCAGTTTTTAAGAGAACCTGTGAGACTGAAATGAAATAGGGAAGAATGGCTGATACACAGGGAAAATAAAGCAACAAGTGTTTCGGAGGAAGTCAAGGCATTAAACTTAAGGAATATGAAGAATTCTTGCCAAGTACATAAAATTAAAGCCATGGAAATCCTGTTGGGTATGTTGCGTGCGTGTGTGTGTGCGTGTGTGTGTGTGTGTGTGTGTGTGTGTGTGTGTGCTTCTATTCTTACCAGTCTTGCCTAATTTAGGAAATATGATTTTTCTTCCTAATGGTAATGGCAATATGAACTAACATTTATTGAGCACTAGTTTTCCAGACATTACTACATATTTATTTACCTATATTGAATCAAATCCTCAAAACCCTCTCATAGAAGGTCTGTTTTTATGAACTGCATGCTATTTACTTACTTACTTCCTTACTTACGTATTTATTTTTGAGGGACAGAAAGACAGAGTGCGAGCAGGGGAGGAGCAGTGAGAAAGGAAGATAAAGAATCTGAAGCAGGCTCCAGGCTCTGAGCTGTCAGCACAGAGCCCAACGCGGGGCTCCTTAACCAACTGAATCACCCAGTGACCCTAAACTCCATTTTAAAGAGGAGCAACCTGAGAACGAGAGAGGAATAACTAACCTAGCATTATATGATTAATACATGTTACAGTCAGGATTTGAATATAGCTCAAACTATCTGTATAAGGCCCCGCCCTCTAGAAATGTAAATACTATAAAATGGTATCATTTTATTTAACTTAGCAGTGAAAACAAAATTAGTGCTACTGGCTATGGCTATTGTTTTACAACTATCCATCATATGACATTGGTGGTTGATGAAACAGAACGCCAATTCATTATTCTGCTCTCATTACTACATTGGCTTCTCATTTTACTGAGAGTAAATGGCAAAGTAGATTGATAACATACAAGACTCTGAGTTCTGAGCCTTCTTGTGTTTCACATCCTCTACCTCCGCTCACTCACTGGTCTCCAATGCTACTGGCCTTCTTAAGGCTTCTGAAACCCACCGGGCAAGCTTTCACTTCTATCTCTGCCTATACTCCCAGACATCAACATGGGTGACTGCTTAAGCTTCTGGGAAACTTTGCTCAAATCCCATCTTTTCAATGAGCTGTGCCCTGATCATCCTACTTAATGCTGCAATGTATACTACCTCATTCTTTCTCTACACCCATGTTCCCTAAAGTACTGACCACTTGTATCTTCTGTAATATATACATAAATGCATTTCTCCCTTGTGGCTTGTTTCTTCTGCCAGAACCCCAGCTCTACAAAGTGAGGAATCTATCTTCCTCCACAGAGTTGGCATTCGTTTATGGAAAGAAAGAATAAATATAATTTCTAAAAGCTAAAGAAAGTCATGAAGACCAGTGGATTTTTAGCCCACACTGGGAAGCATGCTTCTCGAAGACTGTCTTTACATTTTATCCTCTGGACTTTATGCATGCTGTATCATCTTTCTAGGTAATTCCCTTCCCATTTTCTTTTTTTTTTTTTTTTAATGTCTTTATTTTGAGAGACAGAGAACAAGTAGGGGAGGGGCAGAGAGAGAGGGAGACACAGGATCTGAAGCAGCTCCAGGCTCTGAGCTGTCAGCACAGGGTCCGACTCGGGGCTCGAACCCACAAAGTGTGATATCATGACCTGAGCTGAAGTCGGATGCTCAACCGACTGAGCCACCCAGGCGCCCCTCCCTTCACATTTTCTACCTAGGTACCCTGACCTGCTTGCTGAAATAGCTCTAAGTAATTTTCTTAGAAATACTTAGCACTCTCCTTCCATGATCCCACATAATGTGTGGTTCATACCTTCTTTATAGTGCTTAAAATGAGGTGTTTTAATTTAATCTATTGACATACTTCTAGCCATAGATCCCTCCCTAACACAGAACATTTATTTCTCATCTTTGTATCTATAGCACGTGACACAGTGACTGACATACTATCAACCTCCCAGATGATGAAATAAACAATGGATATTTCTTTTGATCTGTGCCCCAGGCCCTTACAGACTTAAAAGACTGATGACTATGTTCATAAGAACCTTAAAAAAATTAATAATCTAATCTCTACCATGGGGTTATGATATGTGTACAATTCTAGAGACCAAAGGCTTGAAACAGAATTGCTTGAATTTTCTTTACAGACAGCACTTCTAAGCAGGATATAGCATCGTACTTGGAAATCTGCCTGGTGTCTTGGAGGCTGTTGTATTTTTATGTGTGCACACACACAGACTGATGGCTCCAGGATATAAAGGAGTTGAGAGTAACACTGAATGCACTGAATTCTGAAGCCCAGCCTGAGAGCAATCTCTTCTTCACTAGGAGACTTCTGGTCTGGCTTATGTGCATCTGTCTCTAGACACGATAAACCATGCAAAGCAGCAACATCCATATTCTCACAGAAGTAATTTGAGAAGAGTGGCATAATTACATTCTTGTCATTTGTGCTTTGTTGTAATTACCGGTATATGCACCAGGATGAGCCAGAAGATCTCCTGTGAAACTTTCAAGGAAAAATCAGCCAAGGGTATAATGTGTTGTGTGCCTGTGGGTACTCATGACCCTTCTCCCCTATGGTTCCCAAAGCCCTTATTTAATTCACTCATATAGTTTCAGAATTGCATAATTGTATTCAACCAATGGCAAAATACTAGTTGAGCAAACTGTACATGTTCAATGGAGTCTTTTCAATTTTTTCTTAGAGAGTTCTTTGCAAGGTAACATAGAGAAAATGACCAATAGGTAGATTAATTAGATTAATATACTATTTTTTAAAATTGTTTCACTTCCTCAATGAAATTTTTCCACTTTTTGTTCACACAAAAACTAATTCTGAGGAAAAATAATGTGTTTGTTTTGTTTGTTTTGGTTTTTTGAGAGTGCCAGAGAGCCGCAAGTGGGGAAGAGGTTCAGAAGGGGCGGGGGGGGGGGCGGGGAGGAGAGAGAGAGAGAGAGAGAGAGAGAGAGAAAGAGAAGGAGGAGGAGGAGGAGGAGGAGGAAGGGAGGGAGGAAGGGAGGGAGGAAGGGAGGGAGGGAGGGAGGGAGGGAGGGAGGAGAGAGAGAGATTCTTAAGCAGGCTCCACCATACTCAGCATGGAATCCAACACAGGGCTTGACCTCCCAGCAGTGAGATCATGACCTGAGCAGAAATTAAGAGTTGGCTGTTTAACCCACTGGGCCACCCAGGAGCCCTCCAAATTATTATTTTTGAAATTATATTTACAAAAAATAATAATTTATAAGAAGACCATCTTTGTTATTGAAGGTGTTTCCTTTTATTTGAGACAACTATTTCTCCATAATTCTAGAATAATAAGTGAGAGTGCAAAATGGTAGCAGATACAAACCAACAAGGATGGAGTAGAGGACGCCTGGCCTGTCTGATGGTGGCTGAATATTCTGGTCCTGGTCAACAGCCTGGATGGGTGGGGTAACAATGATGGGGTTCAGTTCTTCCTGGAAGAAAAACGGGAGAGTTTAGTTTAGCTTTATTATTTTGCCTCACGGAGAATTGACACTCAGATATTAGATATTATAGTCTGAACAGCTAGACAACATCTGAACAAGTGGCTAAACTCAGCTTTCAAGATTTGTAATTTAACATATGAGACTAGGTAATTTTGAATTTGAAGAGGGAACAATGGGCCCTTGGGGTCAAAATGAAAAGTCATAGTAATTACTTTCTTAGAACTTTGAATCAGAAATTTCTCCTAAGAGGAAGGCAAAGAAGAAAGAGATCAATAAATCTAGTCTTCCCTAGATAATGAAATCAGAAGTATGAGACTATCAAATACAATTTTATATCTTTGTAGACAAGATTTGTAAAAATATTTACAATATTTTACAATTCTTCCTAACTCATGTTTTAAAATTTCACTTATTAATTACATTAAGCAAAACTTTAAAGATCAATGCTTGAAGTGAATAGAAATCAAAGCCCCATCACTGCAAATTTCATATAGTTAAATTGATTATATACTATGAATGCATGTACATGGGTGTACACTTAATTTATAATTATATGCAAGAAGACTCTTTAAAATCAAAATATATTTCTCTAAGTCAGTGTTTCCTAGTATGATGTCCAGCGATATTCTGGTCTGCTATCAGCACTGGCAAGTACTTTTCTGTTCAGGACCAGATAATAAATGTATTTAGGCTTTGCTGGAGAGACAGTCTGTGTGTCAGCTTCTCAACTCTGACATTGTAACACAGAAGCAAAAAGTGGGTATGACTATGCTGCAATAAAACTTTATTTACAAAGACAAATGGTGTGTAGGATGGAGTTTCTTGGCCCCTATACTGAATTATCAATCATAATTTGTAACAAGTAAGCTGAAAAACCAAACGTGCCCTCTGCACAGATAAGCTTGGGACACAGGATAGTAAAGAAACTTTCAAAATCTAATCCACTTTCCTGCAGGTCTTTTTGGAGACTTTTGTGCTAATTTGCATAATGACTGTCTAAGGAGGGGGTATTATTTGCACATTTTCTAGAATCATCCATTAACATCTCCTTGAACTCTTACATTCCCTTAGAACACAGTTTGAGAAATACTGCTTTAAGCCTCTACAACCCTCACTCCAAATACAATAGTAATTCTAAAGGGAAATAATGTCTATTTCAATATCTGACTTCACAGTCTAAGGAATCACTACAATGTCATTTTATATTATTTCTTTTCAAATGATAGAACCTTTAAACATATCATGCACTTTTATATAAAATCAGTAGTTTCTAATCTCAGCAGAAATGTATAGTTGTGGCCTGCTGAAAAGAAATGCAAGGATATTAACTGATAATATGTAATACATACTTAATTTTGATTAAGCTCTCATAAGTTTTATTAAGCACAAGTATATTGCTAAAATATATTAAATTATTGAAGTTGCAATAATTAAAGATAATCACTGACCAAATATTTGGAGCTCACATACATCTTAGGGCTTCTGCACAGTTCATCATCTCTAATGGGCTCTCAGTTGCCTAAATGTTATTACTATCTTCCTAAAAACAAACAGCTCCTGGTAGGGATAACTTTCTAATATTCTATTCACTTCTTTTCTGTGGATTCAGATCCATGAAAATATCAAATCAGTATCAAAATCACTCCATTAAATTAAGATGACTACTATTCTTTTGGTTGTGGTTCTTTTCATACAGTAGAGCACATCACAACAATACAACACTTTTCCTAAAGTCTTCCCCTCCTTCCCTATTTTTGTCCCTCATTCTCTGTTCCACTCTATCTTCTCCCTAGCTCTTTCTCTCTCTCTCTCACCACACACACACACTCACACACACACAAACACACACTCACACACTCACCCAATAGCCAATTTACTTCCTCTGTAATCCTGTATTTCTCCTGAAACAGAAAACATTCAAAGCTCTTCAAAGTCCATACATGTGTAAGTAGGAGTTAAGGGCTGATAGCTCAGCTGGGACATTTTTCAAAGGAGCCTGACTGTATCAGCCAAAGTCAGCATGTAGATGAGCTACATCTGTCCCGGCTCAACTAAGAAATCTGTGCTGTTTTCCCACAGTATGGTTCTAGGCAGACCTTCCAAAGGGAATTCAAATCTCAGGATGTTTTGCAGTCCCTTCTTCCTTCCCATGGCCAGGGAAATATACTAAGGGGTCCTACACTCCTGATTTTTGAAACAAGTTACCTAGAATTTAAAAAAAGCAAAAACAAAACAGAAACAAGAAAACAAAAAACTGAACCTGAGTTCTTCTGGGAGATTGATAAATATGAGCAGGTCACATTAGGGTTTCTCTGCTGACCGCCTTTCTCTGCTAAGTGGAGCTGCTAAGTGACCAGCAATATATGCGGTGTTAGCGTGAATGATGAGTCACATAGTTTAAAATCCTTGTCTTGAGCAAGTTGTTGGAATGAGAAATGGAGTTTTAGTAATACTATTTGAAATGATATGAACAATGGGGGGACCATAAAACTAACACAGTAAAAAAAACCAAAAGGGACGGTAAAGTACTAATAAAATTCCTCATCTTTCATAGTTGGCTATTAATAAATATATAGTGAGAACTGAAGAAATCAAAAGAAACAAGTGTGCTATTGGGAATTATGTGCTATCTAGAATCAGAAGAATGAAAAATGGAAACACCAGAATGGAGATGTCTCAGCTGAGTGGGCCTAGAAGTTAAGGTAGGTGGGATGTAAGGTACTTAAAGCCATTCAGTCCTGTTTCACTACGTAGTTTCCATACTCTTGGTGAAGGCTTTAATATGTTTCTGGAAATGTGGGAGAGGTATTGTCTTAAATAACTTCTTAGGACTGATTCTTTTCTTTTCTTACAAAGACCAGCAACTGAAGAAAAACTATTTTTCTTAAACAACCATTAGTGAGTTGTTTGGAAAACCTAGGTTTAAAGGTGAGAAGAGTGAATTCTCAGGTATGATTTGTAAGATTATCTCCCTAAGTAGATTGAAGTCTTTCAATCTTGAGAATTTTTAACCTGGTATATATAACATTCAAGCATATTTATTATGCTTTGTTTAGGAAGATACTGTTACAATACTTAATGCAATTTTTCATAAAGACAAGCAACTTTTAAGCCAAAGTTGGAAAATAAAATATGCATTCATTAGAAGAAACCACATAATAACACACATCAGTTTCTGAACTACTCTCTCACCACAAATCTCTGTACGAGAGGCAGCCAGCCACTGGAAGGTCACACAGATAAGTAATGAACCCCAGAGAAAAACTATTTCTTAGAATAAGAAAGAATTTTATGGGGCAAGAAACCCCATGTAATCATTTATAAGCTTTGGCAAATGATGTCTACTCACTAAATACATTTTTGTCAATTTGTATTCTCCAGAATTTCCCAGCCTAATAGGAGCTCACTACGCTCAACTGGACCTGAAGGAAAGCACCCCGCAGTGGCCTGCCAGGGCAGCCTTCCCAGGTCTTGTGAAAAGGTGAAAAACTAGGGGATGCATTTCTTTTTAAGAACCACCCTCTTCAAGCAGATAGTAACTACTGCTCCTTATTTCTCTCCCGCCCCCTTAGGTCTCTTAGCTTCTAATTTTACCATTGGATTAGGGAAGAAGAATTATGCTGAAGAAATTGGAAAATCACGTATGGTTTAAATAGGCTCGGGTATCCTTAAGGAAAGGATTGCGAGGTTCCTCTCTGATGGTATAATTGTGGTAATTACTCAGTTACTCTTCACAGAAAGCTCTGTTGGCTGGTGCACACAAAATACTCATAACCCACCACCTAGTGAGGAACAACTTATAACATACTTGCTTCATCAAGTTGAATTCCAGGAGACGCATAACAAAAGGCGTCCAAAAACTGGAAAGCTCTTGGGTTTCTTGCCCCAAAAGCAAATATGTCTTCTCTGCAGCCTTATTTGCTTATGAGAAGAAGTCACATCTCTGAGAAGAAGTCGCATTGCCTGAATTCTGGTCATGCTGGTGTGCACCTGTTAAAAGTGCATAGAAGACCAGATTCACATTTCCCTGCTCTTTTAGTCCTCAGAGTTAAATTCCCTGACATATTTAGTGATGATGGGGATTCATCCCTAAAATGAATTAAGTCCATGTAGAGATTCATGTTGTGAGGATAATCATAGACACTATTAAACAATAACAAAAAGGTTGTCTTCAGTAGAAGTGCCGCATGATTCTTTGATTATAAAATCCAAGATTATTCCATTAGGGACGCAGCTTTCCTGGAGAAGTGCCTTGCCTTTCCAGTATATCTAAGACCATGTTTTTATGTTCAACTGCTGCATTCTTTTTGTGAAAGGAACAGGAGGCAATTGGACTGTTGGAGTAAGTGAGGGTTAGTTATTCCTTCTACAGCTTCAACACCTGAATGAAAGCAAATTTCAGTGCAATGCTGCTATTGTATGTCTGTGTGTAGATATATCTGTATATATTTATACACAAGGATTATTTATTCCAACAATATACAACTTGCTTTTTAAAAATAAACTTTGTATGGAAGTGCTATATATGACCGATTTTTATAAACCATGAATTCATAGTCTGATGAATTGTCACACAGTTATATTTAATTCTAAATGCCACTGACATTAAGAACTAGAACCTTGTCATTATTTCAGAATCCCTCTATTCTCTGTATTTTGTATCAATTGTTACTGCTCCTTCCATTCTAAAGATGGCATGGCTTCTAATATCACAGATTAATTTTACTTGTTTGAAACTGTATGAAATAGAATTATACAAGGTCATTTAATTACTGACTTTGTTCATTTATTATTATGTCCTACATGGTATGCATGCATGTGGGTGTTAGGTACATCAAGTGTAGTCTACACTCTCATTTTAATGGCTGTACTGTGTTCCATTTGACAGACATCCCCAATTTTGTTTCCTTTTCACACTGGTGATGGTGTTTGGGTTGTTTCCAGTGCAGGCTATGACAAATAGCACTACGTCCTTCTGCGTGTCTTCC